CCTCATCTGGTGAGATCGACCAACAAATCTCTTCTTCATGCACTTTCATACGAAATGAAGGTCCCTCTAATAAGTAGGACAAGTTGTGTGGAAATGTGATTCACGGGGACGCAATCTATCCTTCGGCCAGGCCCTTCTTTGGGCCCCTCTCCTCTCTCTCCTCCGACTGAAGATCACTCTGCAGCTTACTCACTCAATTGTCTATTCAATGTGTTGCGCCAGCCTCCCCCGCGGGGTGGCGAAGAGGTGTTTTAGCATGTTGGCGGTCGACCATAAACTGCTGAAGCAAGACATGACAACACTGGCCAAGGGCACAGTATGAGCTATGCGCTTCGAGTGGGCCAATCAGCGCAAACAAGAGGGTTGAAGAGGGTTTCGCTTAATGTGGCTTGGGCCCGAGCGCCGCATGGCCGGGCTGATGCTACGCGAGCCACACTTCGGCGCTGATCGGGCAAGCCCGGCCAACTTTACATCTTTTCAATGCATCAGGCAAAGTAGACGGTGATTGCCAAGCCCAACTATGGAGCAGGTATGCTGGAAGTGTGAAACTGAGAATTGTGCATGTTGGCCGATGGAGGCACGAGTCTAGCCTTGAAGGAGCAATCGTAACAACACCTACCATCGCTGTCCCCGGAATCGATGGAATAGAGTACTTTAAAATTATCGCCGCAATTGGTCATTCTATCAATGCGAGTGACCGCATTGAATAAGAAAGTACCGGGAACCGGTACTTGTTGAACCCCGAAGTTAGTCTCTGGCCCACTATGATACAAAATGACCCAACTTTAATGTAGACAATCGCCAAAAAGCCACTTGTACCATCCATAAATGAGTATAGGATTGCGGTAGTATGCGCAGCGATTTGACGTGAATGCGTTCAGGTTGAACAGATTCTAGCACTTGGAGCTGACTGAGCGAAAATGGAAATGCGCAGCTTCGAAAACAGGCATCCAGATTCGGAACAAGTTGAGCCTTGAGGATCATGTTTGATGGCAAATGGCGATGGAGTGTCTTGAAATGGAAATGCTCAGCCATGAGAACACGCTTCCAGATTCGGAACAAGTTGAGCCTTGAGGATCATGATTGAT